TTTTGAATTCATTGTACATGCCCGTGTTTTCTACTTTCTCACTTTTTAAAAAGTAATGAGTGTGGGCCAGATAGGAGAAGAGTTAACAGGACAAGAGGGGGACAGAAACCTTGTTAGGCAAATCAGTAGGGCGATATTAACAGTGACATTTGCCTTTCACTTAGCATTTACTATCTTCCAGATAGCTCATGTTTTATACACACTACGTCATTTTAAGTTAACCACTCCGTGAGATGGATAGTTTATTTGCTCAAGATCACACAGCTGATGGGAGGCAGACAGAGATTCGCATCCAGGTCTGAAGGTAGAGCTTTCAGCTGCCAGGCTTTGCCACTTTCAGCAGCAAATAACACTAGCCTATAAAGGGACATTTTCAGATAACAAAAGTTTGAAAAATAAACTGGTCAGAGTATTATCTTCTTTAACATTTCTACTTTTTCTCCAGTGGGAGGAAATATGAATGGTGAAGCTGAACCCTAATAAGGCTGCAAATCAGTCCTTGGATAGTAGAGATGGACTGCATCACGGGTGGGACCTTTGAGGTTTCTGCCTTTGTTTAATCTCATCTCAAGAATGTGCATCTGGCACATCTCTTCTGTGTTGAGACAAATCTCTTTACGCCATTATGATACATCTTCCCAAGCTGCTTCATTCTTGATGGGGATCCAGGAAGGCAACCATTATGTTCTGAGGAGTTTAACTGAGCAGAGGAAAATTTCTCAATCTGTGATAGGCCATCCATACCCACATATGAGGTGCTGACCAAAAGTCCTGCTAGAACATGGTTACAGCTTAGTATAGACAGATCCAATAGTGTAAGAAATGACATTCGTGTGGTATGAGACAATGACGTTTCTAGAATTAACTTGATTGAAAATCTTGAACAAATCACCCTTTCTTTCTGGGATTTTATTACTTTATCTTCTGAAAAAGGAGTTGAACTAGATCATGCAGTCATTTTGACTGACATATTTTTACTTTGATTTTGATTGGAAATACAGACATCAGCTCAATCCTATCACGGTAATTACTTCATGTGAAACAGAAGCTTAGGTTGTTACCTATTAATCTAAACAGGCAGATAAGTGGCTACCTAGGATGGCAGTTGGCTGCGATTGGGTACACACATCCATGGGAAACACAGGAAAGGACTCCTTGGTGATAAAGCGTGGGGATTCTTTTTCTACTCCCTTTCAAAAGGCAGGAGTCTTCTCTTCAGTCTCCCCATGGCTGACTTCATCTCCTGGTTCCTCAGGGTGTAGATCAAGGGGTTCAGCAGAGGGGAGATGACAGTGAAGGTGACGGAGATGGCCTTATCTGTGGGTAGGGCGGTGAAAGGCCGGGCATAGACATAGATGCAGGGCACAAAGTGCAAGGTCACCACAGTGATGTGGGAGGTGCAGGTGGAGATGGCTTTCCTCTTGCCCTCTCCAGTGTGTGACCTCAGCATGGTCAGGATGACTGTGTAGGACACAAGCAGGAAGATAAACCACAGGGTAGTGACCAGGCCATTGTTGGAAATCATCAGGAGCTCTAGAGTTAATGTGTTGGTGCAGGCGAGTTTGAGGACCTGGGGGACGTCACAGTAGAAGGTGTCAAGAACATTGGGTCCACAGAAGGGCAGCGGGAGCAAGAGGGAGATCTGCACGATGGAGTGGACGAAGCCCCCCACCCAGGAGGCCACGATGAGGGCCGTGCATCTCCCCAGACTCATGATGGTCACGTAGTGCAGGGGCTTGGAGATGGCCATGTAGCGGTCAAACGCCATGACAGAGAGGGAGAAAATGTCTGCCCCACCCAGGAGGTGGAAGAAGAACATCTGGGTCATGCAGCCTACGTAGGAAATGGTCCTGTTCTTTGACAGAAGGTCCACCAAGACCTTAGGAGCCGTGATGGAGGAGAAGCAGATGTCAAGGATGGCTAGGTTGCGGAGCAGCAAGTACATGGGGGTGTGAAGGCGGGACTCACAGGTCACAGTGACCAGGATAAGGAGGTTTCCCAGCAGAGTCGTCGTGTACACAAAACACAGAATGATAAATAAGACCACACTCAGGTCTTGGGACTGAGTAAGTCCCAGAAATATAAATTCTTTTATTGTGGTGTCATTTCCTAACTCCATTGAATTGTGTTTCCTCTTCTTTGTACATCTTGGAAAAAATTGAGAGTGTTATTTCAGAAGGTGTTTGTTCTCCCTTAGTCTAAATGCAGGTTTATAGGGTCAGGAATTATGGTTGCCGCATGAATTGCTGTCTTAGGGTAATTGCTGGTGTTTCCAAATGACATGACATCTTATTACACAAGCATGAATTTGATTACTTTTTCTCCTGTAAATGGCATTTATTGTAGAAAATGTTTAAGAGATCATGTTCTAAGTATATAAGTTCTAAGTAGCCAAGATAATCAAAGGTGGATGCTAGATATTGATAAATGGACTATTTGTGGCATGGGAATTAGAAAGTGGAGTTATTATTATTATTTTTTAATGTGGTATAATTAAAACACTTTGGGTTTCACAGGAATTCCGCCCCCCTCAGACTGGATAACCCATTTAAGTAGTTCTAAGAACCCCTATGTGCAAAATAATGATCTTTGGATTAAATTCTGCAGAAGCATTTCCTCCCTTTTAATTGCAAGGTTCATTCCATGAAAAATTAGAAAGTTTTAAAAGACATAAAATTTCTTCTATTACTCATTTTTTCTTTAAGGGGGACTCATTGGTTCTACCTTTCCTTTGAATACCAACACTCCTGCAAAGTGAAAAATCTTCAGCTACCGAAATGAAAGTTTGAATCAAAACTTCCTTTCTGTTCATTGTTCAAATTTCTTAAAGATTAATTCTTTTATTGATCAACCATTGACTTACAATAGACTGCACATATTTGAAGTGTATGCTTTGATAAAGAATGACCTAGGTTAATAGCTACGGCACTATCATTATGGTTAAGAAAGGGAAAAAAATGAACATTTATTATAGGTTGTTGTGTAGACATATGGCTCCATTTTTCTTGGGCAAATAACTATGGGTGGAATAGCTGTAGATTTTAACATTCATTAATAAGGAAGTAAGCATTAGGCTGGGGAAGTGGCTCAGTGGTAGAGAGCTTGCCTAGCATGTGTGAGGCCCTGAGTTCCATCCCCAGCATTGGGCCAGGGAGCAAGTACAATTCTTAAAAAGGTTAAATGGTTTGAACAGATGCTTCAACAAGAAGGTACAGTCATAGAAAATTAGTACATTAAAAAATATTCAACATGGTTTATTACTGGGGAAGTATAAATTAAAACCACCTTGTAAATTGAAAACGGTATTCACCTATTAGAGCGACTAATATTAAAATGGATCTATCCAGAGTGGGTAAAGTTGTAGAGAAACTAGAATACTGGTGAGGATGTAAAATGGTAAAACCACCTTTAAAAACAATCCGGTGGTTTCTTAAAATGTTAAACATGTACTTACCATAGAATTGTGTTGCTTCGGGGTTCTTTCCTCATTTTTCCATAAACCCTTGAAATGGTCCTTAATTTCTTAATTTCTTCCCAGTTTATCTCCCTTTTCATCCTGGAATCAGAAACAAACAAAAAGAGTGAAAGTCACTTTCTTCCCATTTTTT